AGAGAGAGAGAGAGAGAGAGAGAGAGAGAGAGAGAGAGAGAGAGAGAGAGAGAGAGAGAGAGAGAGAGGCCGCGCAACGGTCAATATTCGCAAAAAGGGAATGAAATTTCCCGCAAACGTGGGAAGATTCATTCCCGTTTTCCATATTAGAAAGGCACGCTACCGAGCGACCGAGAGAGAGAGAGAGAGCCGGCCCTTTGAGTGGAATGCCGCGTTGAAATCGCTGGCCCTCTCTCTCTCTCTTGTGTTTTATATTTCTTCCTTTTTCTTTTTTCCTTTTAGAATCTCGTTCATTTTCTTTTGTTTTCGAAAACTGAAGAAAAATCTGCTACGGGTAGCTCTAGGCTCGGCAAGGGTTGGCTTACCGGTAGCAGGAGGCTTGGACTTGATAGCTGGGTGAGGTACTGGTGGTTCAAGTGGGTCACCACCCCAGCATGGATTTGAATTGTTGTGTCATTTTGACCCAATGTAACCAGATACGCTCTATCCACTAAGCAACAACCATAAGGTAGATATTTTACAGGTAAGGGTATTTGTTGTTCATACAACTAGCGCGAAGTGTGACAAGGATGGGCGCGGGGTAGTGCGACGGAAAAGATCATGAAAATATGGCATGGACCCGTTTGCTGTCATTGTCCGCACTCCGTTCGCTCCTCAGGGCCACACCAATCAATCTTCTTTTTTTTTTCTTTTTTCTTTTTTTTTTAAGAGTTGAATGGCCAAATCAGAGCCAGAATGACGGATCTTGAGCTCAACGAACAGATGTCCAAATATTTTTTTGCTAAAATAAAGGCAAATAATCGCTCTAGCCCAATAGAGGGGCTTAAGGAATTAAGGGGCCAACATATCACCCGTACAGACAGCGAAGGGATGCTCGAGGTAGCGAAGGACTTCTATGGCAAGCTCTGCAGTCCTAAAACCCCTACAAATATCCGTACTGCTAGGGCCAAAATGCTACAATACCTGGACAGAACAATAGCGGATGATCAAGCCAAAAAATTGGATAGACCGCTATCTCTGGAAGAGCTGGAATTCGCCATTCGAAACATGAACAATAACAAGACTCCGGGCATGGACGGTTTAACAAAGGAATTCTGGGCAAAATGCTGGCCTCTAATGGGCCCGGACCTCTTGAATTTTACAACGACAGTTGGGAAAAAGAAGGGACGGGCGAATTCCTTAGTACCAGTGTGGTCACACTACTCTGTAAAAAAGGCGACCGGGAAGACATTAAGAACTACAGACCAATTTCTCTTCTCACACTCCCCTACAAAACACTGGCCAAGGCATTGGCTAACCGCATACTGGACCTAACAGACAAGTGTTTTCACATAGACCAGTCCAGATTCATACCAGGCAGATACATCCTAGACACCGTAATGACCCTCAACAAAGCCTTTAGGAAAGTTGTAGAGAAGAAAACTAGGACAACAATTCTCTTCTTCGACTTCGGAAAGGCCTACGACCAGGTAAACTGGGACTTCCTAGATGCGAGCATGGAAAGGATGGGAGTAGGTCCCAACTTCAGGAAATGGGTGCGTGTGTTGTATAATAATGCCTCCGGCTGTGTTCAGATTAACGGACTGCTCTCCAAAGTCTACCCAATCTCCAGATCAGTAAAACAAGGCGACCCATTAGCTCCGCCTATCTTCCTCTTTGTAATGGAAGCCATAGCCTCCTTTCTCCGTAAGGACCCTTCTATCCAAAGGCTGCCAGAAATGAACATGGGGTCTGCGCTCAGGGCAATGGAAGCCTTCAGACTAGCCTCAGAAATGAAGATAAATTGGGGCAAGACGATAGGTTGGTGGCTTTCAGATGAACCGATGCTACATCTCCAAAGTCCGGAGAGCCAGATGTCATGGGAAAGGCCAGAGCTGCCAACAAGATATCTAGGAATCCAAGTAATGAAAGAAGGCCCAGCACCCCAGATGGCACAGAACCTTCTAACCAGCCAAATTAATAAAATGGGGAAATGGAGTCAAGCGTTCACCTCAATAATGGGCAGAGCACTTACCATCAACACTTCCATATTTTCAATGATGTGATACATTGCCTCGACTTGACTATACCAGATCAGACGATCAAAGACCTGAATAGGAAACCAGAGCCTACCTGTGGCCAGGTGACCCAAACATAAAGAATTACATCCCTAAGATAGCATGGCACTTTATCACAAGGAAACCGTCCCAGGGAGGACTGGGTATCATAGATCCCAGACAAGAGACGAAAGCCCTCCAAATCAAGTGGGTAGTCAAGTTGCTGTCTAAACAGTCTTTGCCCTGGAACAAGCTTGCACAAGACAGTATTAGAAGTCTGGCCCCGATTGAGTCCCTCCAAACATGTCCGGACTGTTCTGGGTGATGAACAAAGACTGGATTCCTAAGGGTCAACGAAGCCAAGGGAGATTAACCCCCACCCAGTCCTCTCACCCGTACTGGGCTGCTCTGCTACGGATCTGGAGAGAGATCATGCCAGAAAAGCTAGGCAAACCAAGGTCCAAAGAAGAAGTGCTCAGCCAGCCTCTCTTCTGTAATCCGTGGATTAGAGATGAGGGAGACCACCCATGGACTTTATCCAGCACAGGCAACAAATGGCTATCCTGGATCAAACAGGGTGTCTGGCGAGTAGGGGACATATGGAACGAGGATAAGAAAAGCTGGCTGGACGAGGCGGACCTCAAGACCCGCTTGAAAGGCTGCCATCACAGGGACGGAAACCTCCAAAAGACAATACAGAGCATCCCGTGTAGCTGGATAGATATTCTAAAAGAAGATTTCACATGGAAACCAGGCAAGTGGGGAGTCCTGGTCCAAGAATCCTCCCCAGTCAGAGCCTGGCAATTCTCCCACCGGCAGTCCACACCCGGTCCAAGGGATGCATTCACCTCCTTCCCAATTTTGAAGACTAAGCCAGATGAACAATACATTCAGAACATCAATCCTGAAAAAGCAGTGCTGAATGCATTCACGTTGCGGAAAATAAGGACGCTAGGTCTCTGGCCTAAAAAGATATTCCAAATAAACACGGCAATTCAAGACCTTGAGTTCGACCCATCAGAATGGGCATGGCGCCCAGAAAGAAATAGAACGGCCAAACCACCAATTCCAATGTATGATTATACAGTTAACCTGGGTTATAAGATGCTGTTAAAAACAAAGGACCCAGACCCAACAATCAAAGGAAGATGGAGCAAGTTAATTCGTTCTGAGGCAGACCAGATAGCAAAAATCCCACGGAAGAAGTACAAAACGATAAGACCTATAAAAATCAGAAGCATGCAATGACTCATAACCTATGTGGCTCTGCCAGTTAACCAGTAGCTACATGTCAGAAGAAGAAAAAACGACCCAACCAGCTCTGATGTCTGTATAGTCTGCTCTGATCAACAACAAGAAGATGTGATACATTGCCTAATTAACTGCAAAGAAGCCACAGAGTATTGGGCAAGAGCAGCAGCACTTTGGGATAGTCTATTCCCTTCTCCCCTCCCAGAGCACCCCCTCCAACTACTCCTATGGACTAACTTACCCTCTAACTTCGGCAAATTAGAGAAAATCTGGTTCGGGATGGTGCGAAAGATCACGCTTTGGGCCATTTGGAAGAAGAGGTGCAGCAGAACACAGGATGGCATGAAGAACCCACGGGAGAAAGTGTGGGCGGCAACCAAAGAGATGACTGAAGCGGAACTCCTATGTCAATGAAGGAAGGTGAAACTCCGGGTGCAAAACAGTCCAGAGACAGAACAGGTGACACTTGCCAAATTCAGACGGGTCTGGTTGGTTGATGACAAAGTGGCTTAGATAAATGTGCACGCGCTAAAATGGAAAGAGTGGCACAACTCTGTCAAGTCTGTAGGCCAGATGATTACTCAGACACACAAAGATCCGTCTGCAATCTGGGCTTAGATGAACATCTGAGAGACACTTATGGCAGGCGACAGCAGAGTTTCCACAGGGAATAGATGGAAAAATAGATTAAGGCGGTCTAGGGTTTAGGGGCAGGGCAGGAGCAGAAACAAGATAAACAGGGAGCAGAAGGATAAAGATTAAAAAAAAGGACAGGGGGTGCAAAGGTTCAAAGGATTTCGATAGGGCTTGGGGCGTAAGTGTGGCTATTTAAAAGAATGAATACGAGG